CTAAGGTTGTGCAAAAATAATGACGTAATAATGTCGTTTTTTAACGTATTTTTTACCCTCAAAAAACGACATTATTACGTCATTATTTTTGCACCAACCTAATATTTACCCGTTTCTCCGTTTTAATTATATACGTTTCAATCAAATTCCATACACTGAGTGTAACAGCAAAAGTGTCCGGCTGTCAAATTAAGATCTGAACCGTTGTATCTTAGAAATGATTAAACATATCTTACTGGAATTCTCTAAGGTTATTTGAACGCTACTGGACTCTGCTTTGAGAAATGAGAATGTATAATTACTCTCAAAGCTTAACAGAGGAATCGTAATGAAGTCGATCATAAACGAAAGTACTTAAGCTCTCTCTTTAATAATAAATAAATAATATTATTATTATCTAATAATAATAATAATAATAATATATATATATATATATATATTCATTCCATGATCATTTTCCAACTTATTATATAGGATCGGAAGCTCATGAAGTACTTAAGCTCTCTCCTTAATAATAAACTTAATGAAGTTCAAATATACGTATACATTATTCCAGGATCATATTCCAACTTATTCAAGATGATATTCGCCCTCTCTAAACTTCTAACTTTCTGTCCTGGAGTAACAAGGTCCCTCACAGGTTTCACATACGATTTCATTTTCAAGTTTTTTTTTTTCACTGCTCTTTGGACTGTCATAGGTGAAACTCCTCTCTCTCTCGTGCCAAACGTCTTATGGATTGAGTTGGATCTTTTCTAATTCGCCTCTCTAGCTCTAAGTTGAAATGATGATCCCTCTTACTGTTGTGACCTCCTGATCCAGGTTGTCTTTCTACTGTTCCCTATTTTTAAAAATTATTCACCGTTCTCTTGATGGTTCTTGAATGATCTTTGAAGATGGAAGCCAGAGTATGAATGTCGGTACGATTACTGAAGGCCTGAATGATTTTTCCTCTCGCCATTGCTCATTTGGGAAGAGAGTGGGTCTGACACAAAATGATTTTAACTTTTTCTTTTCCTTTTAGCTGAATAACTCAAATGGTTTTTCAGTGATTCTTACGACAAATGGAATCAAGATGGCTCAGCGTCTTATCGGAAAACCGGAAATAAAGTAACTCAATTAGTTTAGTGTTTTTTTAGATATCAAACATTTTGTGGGGTGAACAATTATCACATACTGTTACATGATTTGAACAATTTAGCTCCTATACCCGGTAGATTGTTGTTTCAAGGTCACTTCTTGACAAGGTAGCTATCCAATTTTTTTAAATATATAGTTTCAGATCGTCGTCGAGAGACGATGGAGTAGCACGGGATATATGGAGAACTAGACTTCTAGTTCCCTCTCTCGGCCTTGTTAGCTGTTATAATGGAACACACCTATTCTATAGTTAATAGACTCTCCCACCTATAATAAGTAGTAGTAGCAGTCGCTCAGCGAGTGGCTCAGAGAGTTGGTCAGTCAGTCGATGTCGGACGACCGTTAGTCGGATATTAAAGTATCAGCCACCACAACTAGATTACTGCGTCATTACCTATTATATCAAGTTCCTAACGTTTTGTACGTCGAACCTATTTTAGGACCGACTTAGTACAAAATACAAGCCTCCACGGTGAAACCACTACATAACACTAGCAGAATCCAAAGGAGAGGATAAACCAAGGTGTTGCCGGAAGTTAGTACAAAGTACCGTCCATCCGCCTCAGGGGCTCCACTCCGGGTTTGAATGTCCTTCTGCTAGACCAGTTGCCATCCAAGGCTATAAAACCCAGTTTATCCTGCTATTTGCCCAAAGCTGGAGGGAGAAGAAGAGGATTCACACCTCTCCCAAGGGTATTAGCACGTAAGTGAATTTAATAGATTCGACTGGAATTCGAACTCGGCTCTCCGATTCCCCCATCCATTACTCCACCGTGCCTCCTTAGTTTTCAGGTATTTGTTTAAAATTAAATAAATTTAATTTAAATGAATTTAAATAATATTATATGAACACAAAATGGATTGTTTAGAAAACAACACACTCATCGCATTAGTTGGTCACCGTAATGAGTGTGACCATAATTTTGATTTAAAAAAATGCTATTTTAGTTAAAAGGGGAACAAATTTACTAAGATGAAAGTATATAGAATGTGCTTTAATCGCTAGAACATCCACAGTAAATTTGCGTTCAGGCATTTACAATATTTCACCTACCTGGGTAGATTTTCTGTTATCACAATGTTGGATATTTAATAACTAGGATAATAAAAACAAAATTGTCTAGAATATATACGCAAACACAAATATACATATATATTAAAGACATTTTTTTTTATGTTTAACGTTCTTTTTATAGATACAAGTATTTAAGTAAATGCTCTGTTTATAATAAACAGTACTAATTAACATTTACCAGCCTGAATGTCCGAGAAATTTTCATAGAAAATATTCGTACTTTGACAGGATTTGAACCTGCATCCTATACGGAACAGTCATTTACGCTGACGTGCCTTGACCGCTCGGCCACAAAGGATCGTTCAGTTTGCAAGGTTTGTGTCTGTGAATCTGGGTACATACGAGAGTGTGAATGAATTGTGTGCGTAGGCTCGACTATTTATACTGATTATAGGTACATTATCTTGCTACCCATAAGGCTTTATTGAACTGCCTATATAAATAGACAACAAACATTACCTGAAGATGCATAGATATGAATAGGTTTAGGCAAATAGATAGATAGATATGAATAAATTCCGATAGATAGATAGATAGAGATGAATAAATAGATATAAATAGGTAACGATAGATAGACAGAGATATGAATAGGTTTAGATAGATATGAATAGGTTCAGATAGATAGATAGATAGATAGATAGATAGATAGATAGATAGATAGATATGAATAAGTTACGATAGATATGAATAGGTTACGATAGATAGATATGAATAGTTTCAGATAGATATAAATAGGTTCTAATAGATAGATAGATAGATAGATAGATAGATAGATAGATAGATAGATAGATAGATCTGTTTAGGTTACGATACATAAATAGATAGATCTGAATAGGTTACGATAGATAGATAGATAGATAGATAGATAGATAGATAGATAGATAGATATGAATAAGTTCAGATAGATATGAATAGGTTACGATAGATAGATATGAATAGTTTCAGATAGATATAAATAGGTTCTGATAGATAGATAGATAGATAGATAGATAGATAGATAGATCGATAGATAGATAGATAGATCTGTTTAGGTTACGATACATAAATAGATAGATCTGAATAGGTTACGATAGATAGATAGATAGATAGATAGATAGATAGATAGATAGATAGATAGATAGATATGAATAAGTTCAGATAGATATGAATAGGTTACGATAGATAGATATGTATAGTTTCAGATAGATATAAATAGGTTCTGATAGATAGATAGATAGATAGATAGATAGATAGATAGATAGATAGATAGATAGATCTGTTTGGGTTACGATACAAAATAGATAGATCTGAATAGGTTACGATAGATAGATAGATAGATAGATAGATAGATAGATAGATAGATAGATAGATAGATAGATAATATGTAAGTTCAGATAGATATGAATAGGTTACGATAGATAGATATGAATAGTTTCAGATAGATATAAATAGGTTCTAATAGATAGATAGATAGATAGATAGATAGATAGATAGATCTGTTTAGGTTACGATACATAAATAGATAGATCTGAATAGGTTACGATAGATAGATAGATAGATAGATAGATAGATAGATAGATATATGATAAGTTCAGATAGATCTGAATAGGTTACGATAGATAAATATGATAGATTTGAATAGATATAAATAGATAGATAGATAGATAGATAGATAGATAGATAGATAGATCTGATTTGGGTTACGATAGATAAATAGATAGATATGAATAGGTTCAGATAGATAGAATAGATAGATAGATAGATAGATATGATAGATAGATAGATATGAATAAGTTCAGATAGATATGAATAGATAGATAGATAGATATAGATTGTTTCAGTTAGATATAAATAGATTCTGAATAGGTTACGATAGATAGATAGATAGATAGATAGATAGATAGATAGATAGATAGATCTGTTTAAGTTCAGATACATAAATAGATTAGATCTGAATAGATTATGATTGATTCAATAGATAGATATAAATAGGTTCTGATAGATAGATAGATAGATAGATAGATAGATAGAATAGTTCAGATAGATCTGTTTAGGTTACGATAGATAAATATGAATAGTTTCAGATAGATATAAATAGATTCTGATAGATAGATAGATAGATAGATAGATAGATAGATAGATATGAATAAATTCAGATAGCTATGAATAGGTTACGATAGATAGATATGAATAGTTTCAGATAGATATAAATAGGTTCTGATAGATAGATAGATAGATAGATAGATAGATAGATAGATAGATAGATAGATGTGAATAGGTTCACATAGAAAGAGAGAGAGTGAGATAATATTTACAATCACTTATGTTAATATCCTCACCGAAGTGCTGAAGCAGACTGTCTCCTCTCTGTGTTGAGCTCAATGAAAATTCTAAAAAAAAATTCAAAAATATAATTTAATAATAAATAAAATCGTTTGTACTTTCTTCTTAATAATAACAGAAATGTTTTGACAATAAGGCTTTCTTTTTATTAATATGCCCATTTTTTAGTGAATCTTTGAACGTACCTAATCATATATGAGGAGTGATGTACCCGTATCTAACGATGCTTTCAGATTTACGTTAAACCTCAAACTATTAGAAAATATGATGAATGTTTATATATTTGCATAATATCAAAAATTTATTAATCTTCCGATGAAAGTGTTTCAATATACAATTGTGTCTGTGAAGATGAATGCATTCGAGAGTGTGAATGGATCGGTAAAAATGAGTTTATCAAGACGGCAGATTGCAAATACTTACGTATAAATCGTTCAAATTGTGACGCGACGATAGATTTCATAGGCTGACGTATAGATGTAATCTAATGTCTGTGGATTCTTTTTTTTGTCGCTGTGAACAGTTTGAAGATGCAAATGTAATTGAAATTGCTGGGCGGCCGCGTATATGTTCGTCTTACATTTCTGGCGGAACCATTAGCTTCTCAGGCGGTGAAAATCATGGCTGCATCTTGACGGCGCGCGCCATATAAAATTAATAATTCTGTAGTATTTATCAAGAACCGATGGTGGTGTCTGTGTAGTCTATGATAATGACAGCGAAAGTCGAAAGTACTTGAATAAAAATATCAAAATAGGAACTTCGAACAGGTTATCCACAACTTCGAGCACAATACTAAATAACTTATTCGAAGGTTGAAAAAAATGTAATAAAATATAAAAAAAGACAGATTTTGACGGTTATTTTTTTATTCAAACTTTGGATTAATACTTAATGTCTAAATATACCTTATAAAAGAAGGGAAGAGTTGGATTCATGCCTTTCCCAAAGCTATTTGCACGTAAATGAATATAACGAACCCGACTGGGATTCGAACTCGACTCTCTGATTTCTCATTCCAAACGATTATCTGAATCCCATAGGATCAAAAGATGGTTTCTCCTATAAAGAGGGACGTCGGAAAATTTCTTTGTTTTGTGTTGCTGTTGTTTACCTTAGAAAGAAAAAATAGTCTATGGTAATCTATAAGATGGTTTTTGAATTAGATTACCATATTAGAGTTTTTCTTTCTAAGGTAACCAATAGCAACACAAAACACACACACACAAAAAAAAAATAAAATAAAAACATTTTCTTCAAAAATCAAATGCATAGTATCTATAAGCAAGACGAATCTTCACTTAAAAAACATCATAAAGAAATACACAACTCCAGTGGATAAAAAAAGAAAGAAAATTAGATTAATTATTTATTACAAGAATTTAAAATCGCTAACCTCATCATTAAATATTTATAATGTACATTCACTACTTCGTTATATAAAGAACACGCTAAAAACGCTTGCTATCTTAATTTTACTAGCTAATGTTCTCTCCGATATAAAGTAGGTGTTATTTTTATGCGAGAGAGCCGCACGAGAATTCACCCTCTCGTCCGATTTTCTATAAAGAACTTAATAACGTGATACAAACATCTGTTAATAACGGCTGTCCTAATCATCTTATTGATTACCTTATTAGGCGTTTTTTCAAGGTAACCAAATAACAACACAAAATACACAAAAATTCAATAACATTTTCTACAAAAATCAAATGCATAGTAACTATAAGCAAGACGAATCTTCACTTAGAAACATCATAACGAAATATACAATTCCAGTCGACAAAAAGAAGAAAATTTAATTATTTATTCCAAAAAATTTAAAATCGTTAACCTCATCATAAAATATAATAATTCACCTGCAAGATCTACATTACATAGAACTAATATTATTTACGAACTTACATATCTCTTAATGAGCTGTGTTTCTGACCAATCCAAATTAATAAATAATTATATTGGATATACCACAACGTGCATAACAAGAAGACTCACGTTATATCTATCTGACTATAGCTCAATTAGGTCTCATTTAAAAACACATGGTGACCTACCAAACTCTCTCCGTAACATACTCGTTGATAATACAAATATAATAGCATCATCCACATGTACAAAAGCCTAAAATTAATGGAAGCATTGTTAATAAAACAGAATAAAGCCAACACTCAATAATATCAACTATGAGCACGGCCAAAATGTGCTGACCGTGTTTGGAAAATAAAACATTCCTATAACTCTATATGCATACATAAAACAAAGCATAGGTTCAGTTAAAGTAAAATAAACTTAATCCTTGCCAAAGGCTAAAATTATAGCCGAAAGCGATTGCAAATCATATGGACAATTCTTATATAGGAAAGGAAAACATGCAGATCCGAACACATGAGAAATTATATAAAAAAACTCAACCACCACAATTTTGTCAGTCTTTTTCAACACTTTGTTTTTAAATTTCCTTAAAAATAATTTTTATCACTAGTTAGTTACCATCGCCTGAAGAAGTACAATCAAAGTATTGAAACATGAAAGATTTTGTGTAACGATTATCAACCCGATTTTATTATAATCTCTTATAATAAAAATATAATAATAATATATTGCTCTACTTTGTATTGAGCACTTTTTAAAAAGTAAATGCTACTGGCAGTGGATTTTTACTCCATTTGTTCTTTCTTTCATTGGATATATATATATTGTTGTAATCTAGGGAAGATTACTGAATAGAATAATCACAAGAAGGTTGGAAATGAACGATAATACTTACGACAAGAACAACACATATAAGATTCGCCAGCGGCGCGTAAAAGAAGTAGTCAACTGCTAGAAATGAATCAAGTGAATTCCACAATGAATCTCCAACGGCAGGATATCTACCACGCGGTCAGATGTGCCACAGAGCTGGATTTAATGGGAAGTATCCGAGCTCGGCCAAAAATTCCCCGTAGACTCCGTAGCTGTTTCCCGAGACGAGACTCTGCCCTTCGACATAGCTTAGTCTGTGGATCCTCTTTACCTACCCGGAGGCAGAGAGTTTGACCAGCACAGCTGGAAACGAATATCCAACTGCAGACTAACATACAGTAAGTATTTACTCTGTCTCCCCACTAAGACGAGTTGTGGCACAAGGTCTTTTTTAAGGTGGGGTCCCGAGCACGTACACCCGGGCTGGGCACAAAAATTACCTTACACCCCCCACCGCCGCAAACGTCGGTTCTGCTGGCCTCAGTGCGAGCACCGATCCCTCAATGAGAGGGTGTGGCTCCGGGCAGCTGTTGCCCCGTGCTGGGCACCTCTCAGTATAATTTTCCTCAGTTGCGACTCTGTCCTTTGACGGTGTCGCCCCTGAGTGCACTCAAATACAGAGACGCAACTAAGAGATGATAAACTACTCAAAACAGTAATTTACACACTAGAGATTTTCCTAGCGTAGCTTAGATGTGGCACAAGGCCGAAAGAATGGGGCACCCAGTGAGGACCCAACTCACTACTCATTTTGTTCTTGCAAGACAAGCTTGTTAACCATTACACCGCCTCGAGATGCCCAGACCAACATGGAATGCACATTACCGCCCGTAGGTATGCTACAACATTATATATATATATATATATATATATATATATATATATATATATATATAACCACCGTCATTCCTTCACTAATGAACCGCTTAAACACCAAACAACGCTTTCGAAATACTATTGGGATCTGGTGGAAAACGGAATCACCCCACAAGTGAAATGGAGAATTATCTCTATGGCTCGAACTCCTAGACACTTAAGAGATATGTTACCTCTGTATTAAGGAGAAAATCTTAATGATCAAACATTCCTGAGGAATTACTTAATCACCGCAACCAGATTATCTTTAAATGCAGACACAGACATCGTCCCAAAATAACAAATTACATCTAATATTTGGATGACCTGCCCATGGAAGTTTAAATTATCTATACTTGAAATAACACCTGGTGTCTCTCTATATATAGGTTTAATTGCTTATCTTATACTATATATACGTACAGATATTTGTATATGGGCATATATGTGTTGATATGTATCCTTATAATTGTGTTGATATTTTTAGGTGACGATATGGTATTTATAAGTATACACATATGTGGGTGTATGTGTATGCAGGCGTTTATATAGGTGATATTTGGATGTGTGGATATACATGAATACGGGGTGTCCATAAAGTTCGTTTGCACTTTAAACAATTAATTACTTTAAAGTGCACACGAACTTTATGGACACGCTGTATATATGGTTAACTGATCTAATATTACCGTTTCTTCTTTATGGCTCAACCGTTATTCTTCTCATTGTTATTATTATTATTAATAATATTATCATTATTATTATTTCCTTTGATTTCTGGCGTTTACACATTTCTTTCCGGGTCCCGCCCAGGGACCTAAGGTTAGAAATGGCATCTTGACACTTTCCACTGACAAAAAAAATTATTATTATTATTATTATTATTATTATTATTATTATTCCTCTCATTGGTAATTTATTGTTATTATTATTATAATTTTATATTTTAATTCTTTTATTTTTATTATAATATAAAAATAAAAAAATTATTGCGTTTAAATCTTGTTTCATTTCGAAATGTTTTTTTCAATGTCTTTCGATATTACTTATTTTTTCGATATCACCTTACATCAATTTAAAATTACCCCTCAAAAGTGTATAAAAAACAATACGTAAATTTAAATCATTTTTTTACCTTTGGAAAATGTGATCTGATGAACCAAGAAAAAAAACACCTACCTCGGGAAATAAAATATAATCAATGGACCCTTAATGTTGTCTGTTTTCTATTTAAATTAAATTAATATATATATATATATATATATATATATATATATATATATATATATATATATTGATAATATTAGTGGTAAATATACACATACATATGCAATCATATATCTAAAATATATAAATATGTATACATGCATGCATACACATACATATATATATGTATAAAAAATAATTCCAAGAGGATAGAATCTGGGTAGAACTTAATGTCCAAGACAGAGTAAGGATATAATAAAAAGCCTTAAACACAAATATTTCATGGTCATAATTTATTCCATTGGAATCGTAAATACGATCCAATTCATCAGACCTACAAATTCAAAAAGAAAACAGAAAAAACAACTCCGGGAATAAAAAAATTAAATTTAGTCAGAGTGTATGTATGAGAGTGTGGGACGAATGTTAGAGTAAATGAAAGCTATAGGGGGGGGGGGTAACAGACGAGAGAAGAACAAGAAGGTCCAAAGACGGTTTAAGTGAGAGAAATATGAATGTTCTCGGATGTCTAATATATTAAAGATACACCGGAAAAGATACATTTTGTGGTGACAGACACACATAGACGATTTTAATCTTAAAGATCATAAGATGAGAGAGGCAGAGGAAAAGAATATATATATATATATATATATA